TTATCAAGCCATCCGGTGGCAATACGACCTCGATCGCCAGCGCAGAACGGCCCCCTCCAACCAAAGCAAGACCTTGCTATACACGATACCGTACCCGAACCCGAGTGGCAGGCTGCATTGGCATCTCTAAGGGCGTTGGAGGATAATTATGACGGCAGCGATGACAATCTATATTGTTTTGGGGACGATGCCACCGATGTGACTGTGCTGGACGATGATATACCCGACTTAATCGCTGCCGACACGGATGTTTCATCACAGCTAGAAATTATACCAGTATCAAGATCTCATGACTATTCTGGGAATCTCATCAGAGATAATACCGCCGGCGGATGGGCACACATGAATCAGCAACCGGCAGGCACGACCGGCGCTGTCATCTTCCCGTCTCTCATAGACACGCCTTCTATTTTGATCACACATTGGTTTGAGCGGGTTTGTGCCGTGTGGTCGGGTTACGACTCACACTTAAACCTGAATAGGTCATTGGCCTTGAACCTCTGGCAGCAGTCCGAAACAGTATCAAATTGTCTCCAGAGCATGTCAGCGGCCCTCATGACTGCAACATCGCCGGAAATGAAACAGACATCCCTGCGTTTACTCAAGGATGCTACCTCGACAGTCAATCGGGAGTTGAGCGTAATTCATTCAACACCACAACTTGAAAATATCCCAGTCAGCTTGCTCTTTTCCCTGCTCTGTCTGGGCACTTCAGTCTGTTGGACCGAGGCGACGTATTTGGGCGTCCCCTTTTTGAGAGAGGCACGGGCACTGATGAACCGGATAAACGCCCGAGGACTGCCTTTGAGCGCCGAAAACAAACAAATCCTCTCCTATTTTGACAAAAGTCTGGTGTATTGCGACATGCTTCTGGCTATGGTGGGATACGGGGATATACCCCAGGACGAGAAGGTTGAAGATGAGGGGACACCGCATCCCTGGACCGGAATATCAACAGCATCATACCGGCTGTTTGCCCGAGCAGTAACGCTGTGCCAAACGTTTCGCCGTGGCTCTCAGCAACCTAGAACAACCACGGAGTTTTTGCAAAATGCATTGAAACAAATCGAGGAAGCACAGAGCATTGAGGAACAGGTATTGGCAATGGAGACGCCTGCTGAGACGGACCTTGGTGAGACCGGTGATCAGAGAACGCCAAGAGCACACCTCGTGAGCTTGGCAGAAGCTTATCGGTTAGCTTCACTGGTGCATCTATATCAGACCTTTCCTGATCTCGCCGCTCGCCGATTACCTCGAGACTCATGGCCCGCTAGAAATGCACAAGCTTCACTAGATACTTGGATAGTCGCTCTCAGCCTCCGTCTCATAGAGACACTCAAGGACATTCCTCCCAACTCCGGGAGCCGAATGATGCAACCTGCGCTGTATATCTCCGCAAGCACAGGACTCAAGCTTAATCTTCCGACTCTCAATTCTGAGGACAGCCTCGTGCAATTCAGAAGCGAGCCTTCACCTCATGGCCGGACTTCGCTTGATCATGAGGATTGCGAAATATCGGAGTACATGTCTCATTTATGTGGCTTTGGATCAGAAAACACGTATTCGTCAGAGAATTTGTTGATGCACTCTGCGTTTGGGGTTGAAGAGGCTCGGAACTTCGTACTTGAGCGCCTTGATATCTTTGAATATACGTTACCCCCGAACCCGATCATTGTGGCCAAGGAACTGGTCAAGGCTATCTGGGCAGCCTATGATGCAGATGTTTCTGGTCAATATCCTATTCATTGGATTGACATTATGCAATCGAGGAATTTGCGTTCATTATTTGGCTAGCTTAGTTAAGGATATAATTATATATAGCAGACTTCAAAGGGGATAGTTAATAATGTCCAAGGATAAGGGCTCCGTCCAACAAGTTCTATATTCTACTAAAACCTAGGTTGATTTATGAGGAAAACTAGAGAACTCTCCTGCATAGACGTCTAGAACTAAGGGCTGAGTTCCCGATGGAGTAAGGAATAGAACACCAAGCATCAACATCCATTAGCCCTGGCTCTGCGTAGTTTTCTCCTTGCGGTTGATTCCAACCAGGCCAACTATCTCGCCCCAAAAGCTCTGTACAGGTTCGGTGACAGTAGCCTCATAAGCACTAATAACAGGGGCCTGCCAGACGAGGTCCATCTCGTTTGGCTTAACCATTTTTGTCTTCTTGATGAATTTCCAGCCAAGATAAAGGACGGGGGCAATGATTTGCATGGTGTAATTCTGGAAGAAAGCAGCGACAGACCACGGTGCAAAGGCCGCATACCCGTAAAAGATCACAATGACACTGAGGCTAATGAGACCGATCCAGGCGGAGTAAGGCTGGAATCTTGCGTAATAAGGCAGCGACTGGCGGTCAAACCCTTGAACATTGCAAGCCCTATGCCAGTTCAGGTAGGTGAGGCAGATGACGATGAAGTTAATGAGACCTCCGGCTGTCACAATTGAAACAAGCCAACCAATAACTTCGGAGCTGTTGTTGCTAAGCTGAAGAAAGGAGAGGAAGGGGAAACAAAGGGTAACCGCAAAGCAGTACACGGGAACACCTCGCATGGTCCTCTTGAGAACCGAAGGTGCCCTGCCGGTTATGGCGAGTCCATACAAGGAGCGGGTGGCACAGTAGAAGAGCGTGTTGCCCGCAGAGAAGATGGAGGTGAGTAGGAGGGCATTGACTAAATGAGGGAGGCCTTCAATCTGCATATTGGTCATAGCAATAACGTATGGGGACGCAGCGGCACCAGAGGCCTCGGAGGTGCCGTTGAGGAGTGCTTGAAGTGTCGGGTCGTTCCAGGGGACGACGATACCAACACAGATAGCCCCCATGATGAAGAACAAACAAAAGCGCCAGTAGATGGTCTTATAGGCATTCTTAATGATGATGCGAGGTGACTTTGCCTCAGCGGCTGCCATTGAGATATATTCAGGACCAACAATAGTAAAGGCGGCGATCCAGATGGCTTTCAAGAATCCTTCAAAGCGACCTAAATTATTTTCAGACCGGTAAGTTGCAAAGGCGCCAGGAGTCCTCCAGTAGCGAAACCCATAGGCGTCACCTTGAGGATTTCCGCCTACCATAGTCACAAAGGTGAAGAACATCAAGATGAAAATCAAGATAACCTTGCCCAAGGACAGCCAGAACTCAGCTTCACCGAAGACACCAACAGCCATGAAGTTGATAGCACTGTAAGCAGGATTAGCATTGCAAGGCCAAGACGTCGATAGGTCAGCGTGATGGATAATACTTACGCGTAGAGAACAATGCAGGCAACGCAAATAGCGGCGGGCGGGACACTACCAGACCAGAACTTCAGGAGGAGGTTGATGGCCGTGATCTCAAAAGGGACCATGATAGCTTCGTAGAGGAAAAAGTTCCAGCCGACCATGAAGCCGAGAGCATCATCGAACCAATAGCCAGCAAGAGTAATAAACCCCCCCTCGACTGGCATGTAGGTTGTCATCTCGGCGGCGCAGTTGCTAACACAGGCAAGGATCCCACAATAGACAGTGAAAGCGATAAGCAAGCTGGCAGGCCCGCCGGCAGCTACAGCATTGCCGATGGTGATGAAAAGGGCGGTGCCAATGGATCCCCCGATGGCGAGCAGCTGGACCTGGCGATTATTCAGTCGACGCTGGAGACCCTCCGCATTGGGAAGCGCAATGGACCGACTTTCGATGTTGTCATCGAAGTCATGCTTTTCTTCGCTCGCGATTTTGTCCGACATAGTCGTCACCTTCTTTCGAATTCTAGATGGAGTTCCAGATGGGGCCAGCGAAGTGAGAACGTTGAGGCCAGTATTTCAATGTACACAATGTATAACAATATGAGGTAAATCAGAGACAAGATTGTTCGAGCAGAGAGAGACAACAAGCAGTCAAGAAGTGGTTTAAGTAATATTCATAGCGCGGCGTCGGGACTGGGGAGAGAGCATCAAGTACATTGACTCCATTTACCCCGGATATGCACAGCCTTCCCCAGTCACTCCAGTTGCACAGACCAGCCCTGGGTCAGACGCCCCGTTCTTCTACGAGTGGCCAATCTTGAGAAGGGTTAGGGGGTGGGAGAAGTTGATTTGGGGGTCCGGAGTGAGAACCACCGGCTTAGGAACTTGATGAAAGGGACCGCAACAAGGGTGTTGACAGCCCGCATAGCACGCTACGGGAATATTACCGACAGTAGGCCAGTGTGGAAGATGACTAGATACGCCTTATTCAAGCGTTGGTCGAGTCAGTATCTGGGCAACCGGGTGACATTGGACATGATACCTGTTGGCACAGAGGATTAAAATGCCTGTCTAACTGACCTCTCCGGAGGTCCTCTCGGTCGAATTCCGGTGGTGTTGGCGTCAGAGGGGTTGGCTTTGTTGTTGTGGGATTGACTGTTGTAACTTGTTCAAGCTGGTTTGGCGTGACGGGTAAGGAACGGCCACCCGTTAGAAAGATGTCGTAAATTGGCTTCTGCACAGAGTTGGTGATCGACAGAGACCGATCTCACAAACCTAGAAAGTGTCGTAACTGATGCTGGGCAGCTTGTAAGCGGTGATCTGTCGAGCGGTCACGTTGAAGACTTCGCAAGATGCACAAAATACTCAATTCTTAGCTACCGGACAATCCGGTATGGCCGCCAACGAGAAAATTCGCTCATTTAGCAAGAAGGTAAGCTGACCATGATCTGGGGATGTTCCAGGAATGGATTAAGGGGGTAAGCGTGGGTTATCAAAGTGAGTTCTTAGCTGGCGATCGCGCTCGTATCAACTTCACTTTCAAGGAAATATTAACGAAGGAATAATAGTCACACATTTCTGTTGACTTGCATTAATTCCCGTAACTATAAAATTGTCTAGTGACTTTCATCTAGTGATCTTTGACATGGAATGATTCCAGTAAAAGAACTTGAAGCATGTTTCTATAGTCCAATAACCGGATTACTGTTTTAAAGTCATACCCTTGAGCCGAATCATCCCCATTACCATAATGAACCTTGAAGCTGCAAGAAAGTACTAGAAAACAAAAACTTGATTCCCGGGATTGTCCGCCGCAAGCGGCTTTTCAAAACCAAGATCCTCAAACGAAATCTTTAGGCTCCTTACCATTGGTGGAGGGCCGCATACAAGGATCTTGACATCTCTAGCGGGTTTCGGAAGTAGTTCCTAGCGATCATGAATATCAAATTAATAAAGTTGGTATTCAACAAGGCAAAAGAGGTTCCTTACCGAGATCATGTCAGCAGTAACGTATCCAACCCGACCATTCCACTGAGATGGGGGCTTTTCCAGCACATAATGGACCCTGAAACCTTGATCCATCTCAGCAAGAGCATCAAGGCGCTCCATTAAAAGGATATCCTCAAGGCCGGCATTTGCAAAGATGAAGTCGATTTCAGTTGTGTCACCATTGGACCGACCTCCAAGTACAGCTTGTATAATCTGAAGCATCGGGGTAATGCCTGAGCCGCCAGCAACCATGCCAATATGTCGCACCATATTGGGCGTGTAATGAAAAGCACCTTTCGGACCTCGTACACGTATCTTATCGCCTAGCTCAAGTGATGCAATGTGCTTTGAAATATTCCCTTTCGGATACGATTTAACGAGAAGTTCAAAATATCCAGCTTCGTGACTCTTCGAAATGGGTGTATATGATCGAATGACTTCTTTTGCGTTGCCATCCGGTTGGGTCAAAATGGCTCCGACTGACAAATGCTGGCCTGTTGGCAGACCCAAAGTTTGGTTTGATTGCGGAAGTTTGAAACGGCAACTGAACTGACTGTCAGCGACTGTAGCTGATCAGAGGTGCGGGGGAAACTTGACTGACATGACCACATTGTGCGAGATGCATGTTTTCTCAACAAGCTCAGTCTCCTGGAATGACTCACGTACGAGAAACGAACTCAAACCATTTGGAGCAGGGTCCGTGGCTTCCTTTCGAAGTTGGCTGATCGTGGGACCTTGCTTACTAGATCCTGTTACCGGTCTGGAAGTTTCAACGACTGCACCGGGATGCCAAGCATCAGGATTAGCACTTAATTCGCCGACGAAGAGATCAACAAGGATATCATCCGCTTCTTCTGAGTGACCGGCATCCTCGTACGCCTCCGTAGCATCACGGCCGGCGTTTTCCAAAATTACCTCTTCGCCGCCCCTTACCGCACTATCAGTATATCTCAAGATAGTATATATGGAGGATCATGGTAATCAGGCAGCACAGAAAAGGATCTTGATTATACCAGATACAGTGATGATATTCTTTGGGTTCGGATACTTACGGATGTTCATCCACAAATTCAGAGGCGTTATACACCTTGTTACGGATGATCAAATATAGATCATCTTTGCTGCTGTGAGACGCAACCTGACCACGCGTAAACTCTTGTACCATTTCGTGAAAAGGTGAAGCAAAAAAGAAAAACGGCACTAGGCAGCAGGAAACAAGCAGGCAGATTTCAGGTAGGGTGTGCTGTCTCGGACGTCGGCCGTCGTGAAAAGTGAAAGCAATAAAACAACGAGCCTCAGACCTTAGTGTTGCCCAAGAGTGTTAAATGATCGCGGTATATGTGGCGATTCAAAACAGTTCCATAGCTGAATAAGGCAATCAAGCTGCGGTAATGCTGAACCGCGACTTTGCTTTGCTTAACAAACCCACGAATGCGATAGGCTGACGTGTTTTCGCTTGGGCCGGATCCCCCTTTGCCGATCAAATGCTGCGGATTCTTTTGTGTGTCATGGTGTATCTCTAGCTGGCGCTGGCTGAGTTTGCCGGATCAGGCAAATTCAGTGAGCGCCACTTGCATAGACAATGTTAATATATCGGTCATGTGGACAGTTTCTTATCGGAACACACTGCCTTCGCACGCCCCGGCTCCACAACCCCAACTTTCCTTTTATGGTCGGGTAGATGGTTACCCATAGCCTTGGGGCTGACTCGACAGACTTCCCGAGTTGTGCAGTTATGTGCCTCTATAATCCGTAGCCAGCTCAACCCCAAGATCTAGACTCGGGAGCCTTTGACCACTCATGTTGACCGGTGTTTGTTGATGGCTACCCCTACGCCCTCGGAATTTCTGATAAAATCATGGGGATGGAGATACGAAAGCTGGCCAAGGCTCGTTGTCACTACTCCGAGATGATCCAAGAGCCTCCTAGCCCGGCCCCTTTCCCGAGCCCATACTATGACGATGACATACCCCCCATCAATAAAGTTTCACCCCACAAACGTATCATCTCAATCTCCAAACAATTTGTCATAGGATTTCAGGACAGAACTTGGGGTAGCTAATGGTCACATGCAACAAAGAGCGTGGTCATGTAGTATGCCGAATATCGGGGACTGTTCTCGTGCCTCAGACAGCTTGTCTATGACGAACGGGTATAAAATGGTGTCATGTCCTTTGTTAAAACTTGAAGCTTTTCTTCTAAGTCCAGTCATCAGAGTTTTTTTATCTTCATAACACGCACGCCATCATTCTTGTTTCACCAAATATCTCTTCTATTCCAAAGTCACAGACATCGTCACCATGAGCAAGGGAGGCAGAGTGAACGTCTTTAGCGACGACTTCGCAGAAGACAGCCACAAAAAAACTGTTCGCGCCCTTCCATCAACATGGTATACGTCACCAGACATGTTTGAACTTGAGAAGCGTGCCGTTTTCTCCAAGAAATGGCTGCTTCTAACCCACCAGAACAGGCTGGCCTCACCGGGTGACTGGCTCAAATTCGATGTCACAGGCTATGAATTTGTGGTGGCCCGTGACCGCAAACGAAACATCAACGCATTCCATAACGTTTGCCGTCACCGTGCCTTTCCCGTCGTTCAAGGAGGGCAAGCAGGCAATTCCTCAATCTTTGCCTGCAAGTACCACGGTTGGTCCTACGGGCTGAGTGGAAATCTAGCAAAGGCTCCTAGCTACGACCAGCTGGAAGGATTTGACAAGACCCAGAACGGGTTATTCAGGATTCACTCCAAGGTCGATGCCTACGGATTCATTTGGGTCAACCTGGATAGTTCAGATGAGCCGGAACCGTGGACTAATTACTTCGACAACATTGACAAACAAGAACGACTGGAAACTGTCAACTTCGAGGACTACGTCCTAGATAACGAATATGAAATGAGGGGAAACTACAATTGGAAGATACTGGCAGACAACTTCAACGAATGCTACCATTGTCCTTCTACCCACCCAGACCTCCCCACTCTAGCAGATCTTGAGAAGACAAAGGTTGACACGAGTAGAGGCTGGATCAAGCATTCCAGCGTGTTGACCGAGGAGCAAAAGAAGGATGGTCTTGGGCTTGCAAGCACCTATTTCTACCCTAACGCTTCCGTGGTTGTTCTGTAAGTTGTTCCTATCAACAGGTTTTAAATTTAGGCGTAACTAATCCATTCACAAAAAGGCCTCATTTCATGATGATCCAAAGGTTCATTCCCACGGGACCTTCTTCCTCGGGCATGCACTATCAGATTTTTCGAAACAAAAACTCTTCGGAGGCAGACTTTCGCTTGATTGCGGATTTGTACCGCCGGGTTGTCTCGGAAGACAAGGATCTTTGCGAGGGCGCTCAAAAAAATCTAAATGCTGGCATCTTCGTCAGTGGGGAGCTGCATCCTAGATTGGAGCATGGACCTTTGTCTTTCCAGGAGGGACACAGGGAGGCAATCAGAGCTCATGTCAAACAGGAGAAGGCGCTCGGTCGCCAAATCTGGCCTGCCCGTCAGAAATTACCTGCTTCGGCAACTAACAATATTGAGGATGAGGAATTGTGTTCGGGCTTGGCGTGTGGGGAGCAAAAGGAGGTGCTTGCCTGGTAGGCCTGAGCAAAGTTTTGTCGTTAGGCAGAGACTTGGGGATTGGACAAGAATGAGCGACATGGTAGATATTGTTCCAAGTTTCGGTTTTTATATCCTTACAAGTACGAAATGAATGCTTTTTATCGATCTGAGTGGGTGAAAGTTACAATTTCCTCAAGTACTAGAAAAGGTATATGGTACTGCTGAAACATTTGATAGCTCCTGTAGAAATTGTAAGACCATTCATGACAGTTGGACAACCTCTTATTAGAATCGTGCACGAGCTTTTCAAAATCAAAGCTAATGAGTTTACGACTGTTACAAGTTACAAGATAGTTTGTGAGTTCTACTCATCATGTCTAGCACTTTGCATTAGATGTTCAAGGTAAATCCGGGCGATTCTGTTTGAGTGGATTTGACTCTTGCCTCTGGTGACTGGATAATGGATTGTTTGGTGATTATCTCAGTTGGCAGGACCGTATAGAAGCGCGAATTTACAAATAATCAAGACGAGATAGAGAAGCTACTGCAGATCTGTTGATCAAAGATACACGCATAGCGAATACTCATTTAGGAAGACTGCCAATAAACTAGTACCTTTATGATGAGTATTTGTTCGACTCAGTGTAGCTTGTTGTTTGTCCCTAACACATCCATACTTTTGTGCCTTCTCATTCCTTGATCTCGATGACCACCTTGCCGACCTGTTTACCCTGCCACACATACTCAATTGCTTCTTCGGCCTTATCGAAAGACCAGACTGAATCGATAATATCGTCAAATGTCATTTGCGTAGCTGAAATAGCGGCCATAAGCTCATCTTGGTCGTCCTTTGATCCAGCATTGATGCCCCTGGATAAATGGTCAGCTTGATGTTACTATACTCGTTATTGTAGGTGTCAAAACTTGCCTAACGTTCAACCTGCGATCAATAATCGTAGATACAAACTCTTTCAACTCCTCAGCCTTGGGACCGCCAAGATAGCCAACCTGACTGACTGTTCCACCGCGCCTGGTGCACTGCATGCTTTGCACGAGGGAGCTGCTACCTCCATTCTCAACAACGAGATCCACACCAACGCCATTAGTAAGTCTGAGCACTTCATTCTGCCAGTCCGGGATTGTTTTGTAGTTGACGGTAAGAATATCAGGCTTCCCAAGCTGAGCCTTGATAGTAGAAAGCTTCTCCTCACTAGAAGAAGTCAAGATGATCTTTAGTCCAGACGCTCTTGCCAGTTTCAGCGCAAACGTAGAAACACCACCGGTCCCTTCAACCGAAGGCAGTCAGCAACTGTCCACAGCAAAGATCTAGCTCAATCAGTGGAGTGTGTTCTTACCTTGGATGAGGACAGTTTGACCGATAGATGCGCCCTTCAGCGCGGACCAAGCTGTAGTTCCGGCGCACGGAATAATGCTCGACATGACCCAGGAAAGATGATCAGGGAGCTTTGTTACAAGTCTTTCGTTGAAGACAAAATGGGTCGCCAATGTGCCATCTTCATTAGCAGCTAGCCATGATCGACCTGTAGAACGCGCTGTGACAAACTCGGAATCTGTGATGGGCGCAACGCGGTCTCCTATCTTCACTAGAGAAACCTTGTCGCCGACAGCAATCACTTCACCGGCGGCATCGTTACCTGGCACACCATTTTTGGTCACAGGCCAGGGATTACCACCATTGGCGATATTGGCATCTCGGTAGTTGAGGGCCACGGCATGTATTTTGATCAAAACAGCCGCGGGGTCAAGCTTGGCGGGGAGAGGCTCCGTGACTAGCTCAACCTTTGGTGTGCCAGGGGTGTAATCATCAGTCCTACGGTAGGCCTGACGGGTCTTGACTGGTGTTGCCATGATTTTGCTGGGAGTAGGAAAGCTGCCGCTTGGGTCTGATGATGGTGCTGAGACGTAAAGCGACGTGTGAGCTGGTTGCCAGCAACGTAATACAGCTTATCATGCAGGTTTTGTAGAGAACGATCATTCTCTTCATCGACCTCTCCCCACCAACTTGCCAAAAGGGAGGTGAACCATATGCCCCGCCCCTTTTTTTCGACTTGACGAAGTCTGATGGAGACTGCGGTCTTGTGCCGGCAGATAACAGAAACGGCTGAGTTTATGAGAGCACCGGGAACTAAATCTCCCCACATCCCCCGCCTACCAACCTTTCTTGGTGGATGAATTGCATTGTGGGGAGGGGGGTGTGGGAAGCCAGAGGCGTCATAGACGCAAGGCATCTTGGGGAAGATTCCCGAGAACTCGGCAATCTCACCTTACCCATTCAGCCGCCGTCGGGGGGTTTGCCGATAGTCACCAACAGGCCTTACAGAGAAGGGTAAAATAAAGAGAACCTGAGCAGAGCCAACCAAGTGGAGGGCTCGTGAGTGTGAAATATGGGGCGTGTATAGATCCCAGAAGACAACAGCTCCTCCCTCTGCTTCGACATCTCTGGCTTATGTTGGGCCATTGGGAGATATGCAGGTGATGGGACAAACTATCTCAGATGATTCCGTTCACCAAGGGCCCCCAATACTACCCCCGTTTAAGTAATTTCTTGGAGAGCGACTTTTGAGCCTTCAAGGTTTCGGCCCAATGCACAGATGGGAGTCGGAAATGATACAGAAATATAATGTAAGTCTTTCAGGAGATCAACTTCCGTCGCCCGGAGACGATATTCATACGTATAACCAAACCCGAATTTACTCTTCACCTATAAGATTCACCCCCTACTCAACCATCTGCTGCAGCTATGTCCGATACTTCCAACCTGACAATCGAGCGCATCGATGTGTTCCAGGTTGACCTTCCCTACAGTGGAGGTACGTATCAACTATCTGGCGGTCGAACCTACACCAGTTTCGATGCTACCATTGTGCGCATCACCACCAACACCGGCCTTGAAGGCTGGGGCGAGAGCACGCCGTTTGGCTCTACTTGGGTGGCCGCCCATGCTCGTGGCGCCCGAGCTGGTATAGAGGAAATTGCCCCCAAGCTCATCGGGCTGGATCCGCGCCGTGTGGACCGCATCAATGAGGCCATGGACCAAGCACTCTCTGGGCATTTGCATGCCAAAGCGGCCATAGACGTGGCGTGCTGGGACGTCTTTGGCAAGTCGGTCGGCCTGCCTGTGTGCGAACTGCTGGGCGGACGTACCGACGTCGACCTGCCCCTTATCTCCTCCATCTACGTTGGGAGCCCTGAGGATATGCGGAAGCGAGTTGCAGAGCATCGCGCCAGTGGCTATATCGGCCATTCCATCAAGTTATCTGGCGATGACCCTACCACAGATGCCGCTCGTATTGCCGAATCCCTCGCTGATAGGCAGGCCGGCGAGTATTTCATCGTCGACGCGAATGGCGGGCTTACAGTCGAGTTTGCCATGCGCATGCTTCGCCTGCTCCCTCGAGGCCTCGACTTCGTCCTTGAGGCCCCCTGCCTGACGTGGCGAGAGTGTGTCTCCCTGCGCCGCCGGACCGACATCCCCATCATCTTCGATGAGCTCGCCATGGATGAGATCTCGGTGACCCAGCTCATTGCTGACGATGCAGGCGAAGGCATCGGCATGAAGATTAGCAAAACGGGTGGTTTGACACGATGCCGCCGTCAGCGCGATCTCTGCCTAGCCGCCGGCCTGACGATGAGTGTGCAGGAAACTACGGGATCCGACATCGCCTTTGCAGCTATTGTCCACATGGCTCAGACGGTACCGGAGCGCAGTCTCAGATGTATTTTGGAATGCCGTGATATGATAGCTGTGACCACTGCCACCGGCGATTTCAAGGTGAATGAGGGCAAGGTGAAAGCACCCAAGGCGCCTGGTTTAGGTATTACGCCTGATCTAAAAGTACTAGGGGAGCCTGTTGCTACCTATACTTAGGCTTGGTATCATCAACTATTATTTGTAAAAGTTAGAGTGCCTTATCATGGCTGTATATAAACTCCATAAAACCATCAGCCGGGCAGATTGTGTGTCTATGAATACACCAGTTCATATATAAGGGGCAGGCTGCGATTTTAGATGGAAGATAAGTTTCCAACACCAAATCCAACCTCTTTAGTTTGGTTTGAAATATCTAAATATACCACTCCCGTTGCTAACTACTATATGAGGAGGGTACCTGGAGACACGCCCCAGTTCAATACATTCAGGAAAGTACGCCTAGAGCACTTGGGGAAGCTGGAGTGAAAAGCCAGCATCTGATTACATCTGTGTGGTGGATTTCTGAGCCCTTTGAGAGCGCAAGCAACGGGCGACCATAGCTAATGACCTCTGCTGACCTTGGGAAGAAAGTGGCCCTGTGGCTTCCATATGAGCTACCCACGTTCTCCTCTAGTTCTGCTGAGGATTCCGGTGTTGGTAGAACTAAAATAAACAGAGGAAGAAATCCTATCAACCTTCTAGATCCGATAACCCTGAAGCCTAAGAAAACAATACATGCATTCCCACCAGAGCAACTGAGTTTGATCGACTTAATCAGTGTTGCGCCTCGCGAAAAGCCCAACACCTACAACCAACCATTTCGTTGGGCTCCCAGCCAACATGCAAAATAACCACTCATTGGTGCTTCTGTCAGGTCCACTCTCATGCTTGCATGAGCACTGCCACCATGCGTAGCCTTGTAATATGTATATGACACCCCGGCTACCGGCAATAAGAAAAACTGCTCACTTTTTGTCTACCTGAAGGGTTCCTCAATTTAGCAATGGCCGAACTATCAGATGAGCCGCCTTGTCCACGACAAGAGCTATATCAGCCTCTTTCTTCAACCGAGTATCGAATAGTCCATCTCTTCCCTGGCGACTTTCCCGATGATATCCAGTGCGCTTTGCAAATACGAGACGATTCCGTAAGAAGCAGATATGAAGCAATCTCTTATGAATGGGGCGACGAATCGAATGCCAAGCCGATCCATGTTGCACGGCTTGATGCGCTCGTAAAAAGAGTCTCGAGCCTTCGAGGCACTCAATTAGTTGAGTGTATTTCTCTTCTGGATAGGCTAGCCACCCAGCTCGAACGCAGCCATACTATGCTTTTCTACATTTTCCCTACTATTTCGTTTGGTTGCCTTCTTTGGTGGAATCTATCCTTTGTCGAACCAGCCTGGGTTCTCTTTTCCATTCCCACATCTCTCTCTCGTGCTGCTACATGCTTGTTTGCTGCTATAAACTTGGCTTGGGTCTGCCAAGCATCGTACAGGCTGATGCAAGAGCGCCTAAAGAGCAGGTTATGGACCTCAAGGACAACTGACTGGAGAATTCGAGAAAAGGATGTATCCCTATCCAAATTTGAGACTCTTCATGTCACACCTAATCTGGAGAATGCGTTGCGGTATTTGCGGAGGAACAAGGGCGTTCGTATCCTCTGGATTGATGCTCTATGCATCGACCAGAAAAATGAGGCTGAGAAGCTCATGCAGGTCCAGAAGATGGGTTGGATATACGCTAATGCCCATATGGTTACAATATGGCTCGGAGGTTATCATGATCACCCAACTGGCCAGTCCTGTAGCGACACGGGCATCGTTTGTGCACATCAGGAACGAATCGAGTTGGCCTTCGCTTGTCTTTGGGGTTCGCACTGGGGAATATCCCGATGCTTTCGAGCGATTGGATACACGAAACCCTTTAAGAAGTCACAAGCAGGCATCCATCATATTATCAAGAGGGGATGGTGGCAGAGGCTATGGGTTATCCAGGAAGTGGCCCTTGCAACCGGTGATGTTAAATTCCAATGTGGTCACAGCACATGCAGCTACGCCGATTTTCACACTTGGTTCTCTCACATGCCTGCGATGTATCCTGAAGCTCTATCATTCGAACAGGACAACACACATGTTGGGTACTTCCTCGACCTGATAAGAACATTCCGGTACGATCTCAAAACCGACCAGTCATTATTTGCCTCCGGCTCCATAGTATACGAAGTGGAAGTTTTTGCGAGGGATCTTTGCAATATCCTACTAAGGACTTCTGGGAGTTTCAAGTGTCGGGACCATGATGATCGCTTATACGCGGTACTTGGAATTGTGGCGGGTGTGAGTCGCGATACATCTGGCAATTCATCTAAATTTTCATATTTCGTCTGCTCAATAGCCACGCTTGGATTTCTCGGAATCTCGAAAGTTCAGGACTCTCTTCTCAGAGAAGTCTGTAGGGACATTCTCTTAACCTTATTGTGTCTTGCCACGATATTCTGCGAAATTGGACCGAGGTACTGGGTCAAAAACCGACCGAGCAGCATTAGAGACTCCAGTTATGCCATTAGAAGTATCACAGGACACCAGGGGTATCAGCTCTCTCGGGTTCAATTTTTCACCAAGCTTGCTCACGGCCTAGCAGAGCAAGCAAAAAGTTTATCGTTTCTCGAAGCGGCGAGCTGCGGTGAAGACGAAGACCCAGCCATGCCATCATGGGTGCCTAACTGGTCCAGGGAGGTCCATCCGCCGGCATGGGACTTCGCCTATAAGGACATAGGACGCCCCTTATTCGCTGATCACGACGCCTTCTCCTTTCTCGAGGAAGGAAGGGTTATTGATGTCCAGGGATATCGCGTCCCTGTTGCCAACCTATGCACCATAGCCGATCTCGACGAAATTCCATTGCCTCACATTATGATGGGTCGAAGCCCTGACTATGAGGAAGATCTCGCGCTTGTAGAGCAAATGATGGATCCCCACACGGTCAAAAAGCTTCTCTTTGAAGACATATGGAATAGAGCTACTACTGGGCCAATAGTACACATTCACGACCCGGGCTTGAGTACAAAGGGAGCAATAGGATATCTGAAAGCTGGAAGCATGGCCGCGGGAGACCATCTCGTCGCAGTACCCAGCTGCTTCCATAATATTGTGTTGAGACCTTGTGGGTTCAAGGGCGACAGGCCCTCTCGTTGGAAACTTGTTGGACTTGTGGAGGCCTGTAGGTATGGAGATTGGCTTTTATTACCAAGATGGAAAGATCCACAAAGGTATCAGATCGAATAGTATGGAACGAGTTGTTCGAAGTGGCGTGGAACAAGGACATGCCTCCGTATCGAAATATTGAACGGGAGTCTTATATCCTAGCCTACTTCCTAACATAATTGACGCAGCCCTTGCGCATACCCCACTCTCGCGCAACTTCCCCTCTAAAATCTATCTCTTATATATCTATATAACTAGCTTTATATAAAGACCCACTTTTAATTAATAAGCTTATATATAATCTAAGTACCTAATTTACTATATAGAAAAAAGTTTATATTAAAATAATTTTTTTAATATTTTATTTTTAATATTAAAGTTATAGATAAGCTTTTAAAAAATAGATAATTTATTATAATCTCTAGCTATATTACTAGCAGTATAATTTCTAAAAATATTTTTTTAATTTTATTTATCTATTTCTTAGTATATAGAAATTTTAAAATAAATTCTAACTAATTTATTTAATTTTAGAATTTATTTATAAATATTAAAAAATAAATATATAAGCTTTTTTAAAAAAATACTTATTTTTCTTAGGAAATCTCTAAGAAAAGAAAGTACCTTCTTATAATAAGCTTTTTTTAAATTTTTTAATTATATATATAAGATATAATTATAAATAAAATCTTATAAAATTTTATTATTATTCTTTTAATATATTTAAATAAGAATATATTTTATATAATTTTTTTAAGCTATATATTTTAAAAAACCTTCTATAGCTAATAATATATAAACTTTTAATTATATATAATTTAAAAAATTAATATATAATGTAAAATATATTTCTATATATAACTAAAACTTTATATATTATTATTAAATTTTTTATATTTTAAATTATCTTATTATAAAAAAGATATAATTTAAATAGCTAAATTTCTAAAGATACTTAGTTTTCTTAGAGAATCTCTAAGAAATAGAAGTATTTTTCTAGAAAATAATAAAACTTATTAATTTAAATTTTAAGTTATAATATATACTTATATCTAGAGGTTTTAAATTAGAAAAAAAAATCCTATATATATATTAATAGCTAAATAAAATTATTAAAATATTTAAAAAAAGTAGATCCTTATATTATAAGATATATTAAAGAATAAAGCTTATAATTTTATTTTTAAAAAATTAAACTTTTATTAGTAATATATAGCTTTATATAGTTTATATAAGCTAGTAAATAATTTTAGATATATTTCTATATATATAGAAAATAAAAAGAATATTTATAAAAAGTGGGTCCTTATATAGAGCTAGTAATTTAGGTTTATAAGAGATAGATTTTAGAGGGGAAGTTGCGCGAGAGTGGGGTATGCGCAAGGGCCGCGTCAATTATGTTAGGATTTGCCTACGTTATACAGATACTGAGGAAGCAAAATTGCCATCTGTATATGGATTCATTGATTTCTTGCCAAGCCCCAATGTAGTAATCTTCTTTCTACCTTGCTGTATCTAGCTGTATTTTATGCTACTCAACATAAGTATGAAGTAGGGTGCTGGAACCTGAAAATCAGTGAGCGCCCGAGTGCGACTGGGGCAAACAAGAACAGAGATTGGTCAAAACAAAAACCGGAGCATCTTGTCCCCTTCTTGCCAACAGGGCCGCCCAATCCGATATGGTGATGGTGATCCTCCCGGTAGTTGGGCCACCCACACACTACGATTCGGTACATGCATTAGTAGCCCCGTAGCCGCGGTCGAGCTGCGGGCGGGAAGGGAATCGCCGCTCTGGTGTGCGGTGGGAGTGGAGAGGGAAAAGCAAAAACCGCTGGTGGACAAAACCATGACGCTGGAGCCATCCACCCAAATCGGTGTGCTGATTTGAAATGGATGTGCGGATACGGTTTACGGAGCCAATGTATTGGGATTGGATTGGATGTGCTATGTTAGAGACACCTGATGAAAGGGGTGGAGTGTGGTGGATGCCATCTGTCGCTCAATATTTCGATGTGAAGTTATTCCAGAAATCATTGGTTCTTTTGCACTTCGGGCCTGTCTTTCATTTCTCCGCCTGTCTCGCCTGCTTTGATTCATAAAGACCCATTCATACACAGGCATAATATGTACAAGTGTACGGAGTACCACGGAGGCATGCACATGCAGAGTGGTGTACACTCCTCACGCACCGCCTCTTACGTTGGTCTGATGCCCCTTTCAGCCACTCACAATCCCGAAATGGACCTTTCAGCTCCCCAGTGACATGCAGAGCTGTGAAATGATTGCCGAAATGGTCCAAAATGGCCCAGGAAGATCCTCTCCACTACGGCCACTACCGCCCAGCTCAAAGCTAGCTAAAGCAACCTTTGCAGTAATTTGCTTAGTCTCGAGACCCTTCCCAATCCCATTCCAGTCCTCTTCACATGAATCCGAGACATTTTGCCCAGCTAAGAGCAAGCCTGTGCAGCTCCCCCCTGCCCCATTGGCCGACACGTCATGGGTCTCAGCAGCTTACTGACCAAGCTGCTAGACCCATGAGGAATAGCTCGGGCGGTCGCGCGCTTCGGTTTGCTTTTTCTCCATCCGGAGGCTGGATACCTTGAGATTTGGTGGTGGAGGGGAGCGGGCGAGGGAGACACAAGTGAGCGCCACAGACGCAGTACAACACGGCCAAACTGATGATCTCACTCTGCAGTCTGTAACGTACCGGTCGAATCACGGCCCGTGGATTAGGAAGAGGGGAAATGGCGGAATTGATCTGTGGCCGGGGTGGAATCTCCCTGGTGGTGTAAATACGGACGAGCAGATGCCCTCGCACATCCAGCAGCATCTTTTCGTCTCTCGCCTCCTTCTCGTCCTGTAGCTCAGAGACATACATACACTAGGGTCTAGGGCTAGCCCGCCTTGGGGAACTTTGCTGTCTCTCAATCGTCGTCCAGCTGTATCCCCTCCATCGAGGCTCACCGAACTTTCCAGCTCACCTCCCCCAATACTGCCTGCCTTTCACCTCGGAGAAAGTTCGCCCCCAGCACCATGGAGAAGGACTGGCTTGATCCAAAGTCTGCGCAGAATGCCAGGCAATCAGACAAGCCAGCCGACGTCGAGGGCAACCTGCTGGCCGAGAACGCGGCTGCGATGAAGAGCTCGAATGCTGGCTACGTCTCACGGACGAGGGCGCCGAGGAAGCTGGTTCTATGCTTCGACGGGACGGGGAACAAATTCCACGGCGATGACAGCGACAGCAATATCTTGAAGATCTTTCGCATGCTGGATCGCACCGCCGGTGACCAGTATCATTACTATCAACGTAAGGGACAGATTGATGCACCATCGTTGGTTCAATCGCTGACAATATCTTCAATGCAGCTGGCATCGGCACCTATGTAGTCTCAGGATCACTCTCGCACACCAGCCTCCGCTCCCGACTGAGCTCCTGGTACACGAAGGCCAAAGACTCGGCCATCGGCTCGTCATTCGACCAGCACGTCGTGGGCGGCTACCGCTTCCTGATGCGCTTCTACAACCCGGGCGACGAGATCTACATGTTCGGGTTCAGTCGCGGCTCCTACATCGCGCGGTTCCTCGCCGAGATGCTCGACTACATCGGGCTCCTCTCCCACGGCAACGAGGAGATGGTCAAGTTCGCCTGGAAGGCCTTTGCCGAGTGGCAGTGCCGCAAGGAGGTCTCCGGATCCGACGAGGAGAAGGCCGAGGCGCTGGCCAAGAAGCGCAAGATGTACGAGTTCATGAAGGGCTTCCGCGAGACCTTCTCGCGGCCCGTCGGGCGCATCAAGTTCCTCGGTCTCTTCGACACGGTCAACTCGGTCCCGCGCTTCGAGGCGGCGTGGATGCAGCGCAGCAAGTTCCCCTACACGGCACGCAGCAGCGCCAAGGTGATCCGGCACGCGGTCAGCATCGACGAGCGCCGGGCCAAGTTCAGGCAGGATCTCATGTATCAGGGGAATCCCAGGGCCAAGCTCCATCGCCACCGGCACTTGGGGAACTTCATTGACCAGTTCAACCCTCACTCGCGCGGCCTCCATTCTCGCAATGGGGATCATAGCAAGCACACGCATCCCGAGGGACCAGCTGGACCCAAGCAAGGCGAGGCGAATGGAGCTGCTGAGCCGCCCGAGGACGAGCGTGGACGGCGTAGGAGCCAGTTCCTCGCCCCGGGCGCTAAACGTCCTGGAGAGAAGCAGCACGAGCAGGACTGCGAGTTTGCTCCATACCGCAAGCGCTCAACCTCCCGTCTCCGAGGCACGTCCGTCGGCCGCCAGGCAGCCAAGCAGAGGCGAGACTGCAGCGCGGATGGCATGTCCGAGATGTCGGGCATCGCGCCGTCCGAGCTCGACCCAGACTGGGACGAGGACGGCCAGGACATTGACGAGGTCTGGTTCGCGGGCGGGCACGGCGACGTCGGCGGCGGCTGGGAGATGCTCGAGGACAGGAAGAGCGCGAGCCACGTGCCCCTCGCGTGGATCGTCCGCGAGGCCATGCGCGCCGGCCTGCCGCTCGACCCGGACAAGGTGGCCGAGATGGGATGTTCGTGCCACGCGGAGTGGGATGGCCTGAATCCCAGCCGGCTCAACTCGTCGCTGAAGCAGCAGAAGAAGTCGCAGAGGCAGAACGTGCCTAACATCCGGCTCCAGGAGAGTGGCACCGGCGAGCCGATAACGCCCACGTTCCCTGACTCGCCTCTTCAGACGTCGAAGGAGTTTGGCCCGCCATTGGACAAGGAGAAGGGGGGTTGCTGCGGGGATGATGACGACGACGATGATGATGACGATGAGGATTCAGACGACGAGGACGAGAAGATGTTCAAGGGCGTCATGTCCAAGGCTCACACGTCGCGGATACACGACTCGCTCTCCTACGACAGTGGACTGGGCTTCGCGGCAGTCACGGCGTGGAAGTTCATGGAGTGGCTGCCCTTTGCCCGCATGGACCTGCGGTCGGACGGGTCGTGGGAGCCCATCCGCTGGCCACTTCCCCGGGGCGAGGTGCGTGATGTTCCAGACAACGTGCGTGTTCATGGAAGCGTGATCCGGCGAATGGAAGCCGACAAGACGTACCGTCCT